AACTGGTAGGAAGATACTGTTACTTCCAATTCAGTTCATCATTTAAAGTATCTTTTTTTTTTTTGGTTTTTCGGGACAGGGTTTCTCTGTGTAGCTTTGCGCTTTTCCTGGATCTCTCTCTGTAGACCAGGCTGGTCTCGAACTCACAGAGATCCGCCTGCCTCTGCCTCTCAAGTGCTGAGATTAAAGGCGTGAGCCACCACTGCCCGGCTAAAGTATCCATTTTAAAAAGATTTGTTTTATGCATATGGGTGTTTTGTCTGCCTGTATGTCTGTGCACTGTATGGGTGCAGTGCCCACAGATGCCAGAAGAGGGCATCAGATCTTTGGAACTGGGGTTACAGATGTGAGCCTCCATGTGGGTGCTAGGAACCAAACCCTGGTCCTCTCGAAGAGCAGCAAGTGCTCTGACCACTGGATCATCTTCCAGTCTCCCCCACAAATATTTTTGAAGTGATGCAATTGTTTGTAGTTTGTTTGCTATTCGACAATCATGAAACAGTCCAGTGTGGAATATACAAGTAGCTAAAAGAAGATAAAGAGTTAAAAGGAATGGGCATGGTGCATGTCCGTAATCCTAGCACTTCGAAGGTAAAGATTGAAAATCTGGAATTAAAGATCAGGCTCCACAAGATAGGGACCTCAAGGCCAGCCTGGGCCACAGGATAAATAGCCTCAAGATAAATGAATTTTTTTAAAAAGAAAAAGTATGTATCTGGACAAGGAAAACAATTTTTCCATCTCTTGGGATTATGAAGTGTGGGTATAACTTGAACTATAAAATATTACATGTAGAACACTTGAAGTGTTTCTATTCTGTCCCTTTCTAGGGTATTTCTGTTATTTCTGGGTAAGACGGGGCATAGCCCTTGTTCTGAATTATTTTGTGGTTTATGGAGTATGTGTGGCTTTTTTTCTTTTTTAAACTGAGACAAGGTCTTACTATATATACCTCGAATAGCCTTGAACTCACAATGTAGCCTTGGCTGGCCACCTCCTACCTCAGTGCTTGTATTACAGATGTGTGCTACCACACTCAACTTGGTTTGTGTGTTTTGGGAGAAGTTGGTAATTAAGATTTTAAGAATGACACTATTATGGTTATACTGTATACTACCAGACAAAATCAAGACTGTCTTGTCTACAGGAAGAATGACTAGTGGATTTACAAATTGTCTTTTTTTTGTATCATCACAATTCAAATTTGAAAATACATCAAGACATAGTGAACATGGCTTTGAGGGAAGAAATTTAACAGATTAACTTAACAGAGAGTTTTTATAATTCTTATATAAAACGTGTTTGTATGTAGGAAAAATATTCTAATATGACTCAAAACCCTCTCAATTTGGTTTTCTTTAGCTCCTTGGTGAGCTGGAAAAAGATCCCAAACTTGTTTATCACATTGGCCTTACTCCGGCGAAACTTCCAGACCTAGTGGAGAACAACCCTTTAGTTGCTATAGAAATGCTGTTGAAACTCATGCAATCAAGCCAGATCACGGAGTACTTCTCTGTCCTGGTCAATATGGACATGTCCTTACATTCGATGGAAGTTGTTAATCGGTAAGTGTTCATGGTCCACCAGAAGTGTCACTAGTATTCAAACCCCGAGTACATGACCTGGAACTTTGAAAAGCTGTGGCAGGTTTTTCCCTTCTCTGATACTTACTGTTAGCCTAAACTGATCCTTAGTGTTCACTGCATGTGACGTTAGCCTCCATTTGTAAGAACTCAGTTGTTAACTTTACTTCACTGTCTTTTGTGCTCCCTACAAGTCCAGGTTTTCATCCCTTAGCAGCCAGTATCGGCAGCCAGTACGTGTGGCCCTTAGACTTGTACCACTAGGCACGCACTCCTGGAGAGTACTGGTGTTCTCTCAGCTTTTGTTGGTTTTTTTTTTTTTTTTTTTTGAGACAGAGTCTCTCTGTAGCCCTGGCTGGCTTCCCAGCTCTTTGTTGACTTTGCTCTTCAGTGACCATCAAGGAAAGAATGCATTCCCCTATGGGTGTGGTCTATGTAGTTTTCATCAAAGATATATTTTAGGTAAATTAAGAATTAAATGTACTTAGGTGGGTGGGGTATTATTTTTCTGAGGTAATCTTTTTGAAATAGGATCTCATAGTATCCTGGCTTCAAACCCTAGCAGTCCTGCCTCATTCTCTGAGCCTTGGACTATGGGTACGAGCCAGATCACATTCTTTTTGAACATCTATATGTAAGGATTTTTGAAACTTGAACTAAAGAATGTGTTAAGTCAGCTGGTGACAGAAGCTTGGCTGGTAGCTCTGTGCACCATAGGTGGGAGAAGAAAGGAAACAAGAGCTTCCCAGTTCCTTTGTAAGCGTGTGTCACTGGTGGAGCTGCCGGGCTACTTGTTGAAAACACGCCGCTTGCTTCTACCTCCTTTATTATAGTCAAAGTTGCTGTTTTTGCCTTGGCTAAATTCTGCCATTGGATGGAGCAATCTGAGTGTTCTTGGATTCTTCCTCACTGCATTCCTGTAGTGTCTTTACCAGTCAAGTCCTCCTTCTGCTTGTTTCCTAGCTTATCATAATTTATTATTCCCAAGGATGAAGCAGCCTTACTGCTGATCTACAAATCTCAGTAGGCACAGTGCTGGTGGCAGTTTTCTTGAAGTACTTTAGTGCCTTATATTTTAAGGTCAAATAGTTTACAGTAGCCAGCCCAGTGTCCTACTAGTTCCTGGGCTGCAGAACTTGAACTCTGTATGGAATTCTTACCTGATTCCATTTCTTTCTCCCTCTCCCTCTCTCTCTCTTTTTTTTTTTCTTTTTTTTGAGACAAGGTTTCTCCATGTAGCTCTGGTTATTGTGAAATTCACTCTGTGGACCAGGCTGGCCTCGAACTCAGAGATCTACCTGCCTCTGCCTCCCAAATGTTGGGATTAAAGACCTGCACCACCACCACCTGGCTCTGACTCTTTCTTCTTATTCTACTTAATCCTTTGGAAAATACTTTGGCTTAAAAACTCTTAAGCTTGTTACATAGTTGCTGAGTCTTTAAGACTGTGTAATAGTTCTATGCCTGTGTGCCATGCTCAGTTCTCAGATAGGCCTGTTTTGTTCCCTGTTAGTTCAAGTAACTTTTGAAGGATTTACCAAGTTCATGTTTCTTTGGCAAAGCTCTACTTTAGTCTGATTATATGTTGTGCTGTTTGGTCTATCTTCATCTGAGAGACACACTGCCTCTCATAGTGCTTACACTTACAGGACTTTTCTAAGTTTTAAATGATGGCAGTACCTGCTGAGGTTGAGCTTGGACTGACAGTGATTTAGCCAGGGACATAGTGTTTCAGGGACATAGTATGACACTCATTGCTTAATGGGTAGTTACAGAGTATAATATGTAAGTATAAACTTAACAGAAGTGTCAGAGGTTTAAGTGGCCGTGGCTCTTGGATTTAAAAGTAGAGAATTGGGTCACATAAATTTTTACTAGATGACCACAGGGAAATTTTGACTTCATATTTACGGTACTTCTCAGTATTAGCAAATACAGTTAACAGCTTAATTTTTTTTTCCTGAAACAGACTAACTACAGCTGTTGATCTACCTCCTGAATTTATTCACCTTTACATATCAAATTGCATCTCTACTTGTGAACAAATTAAGGATAAATATATGCAGGTGAGTAGTAGAAATGTTTGTAACATTATTATGTGCCAGGAAAACAAGTTCCTAAAACTTGTCCCTTTTTCTTTTCCAGAATCGTTTGGTACGTCTTGTATGTGTGTTTCTTCAGTCTTTGATCCGTAACAAAATTATTAACGTGCAGGACTTGTTTATAGAGGTGCAGGCCTTCTGTATTGAATTTAGTAGGATACGGGAAGCTGCAGGCCTCTTCCGGTTGCTGAAGACACTGGACACTGGGGAAACCCCTTCAGAGACCAAAATATCAAAATAATACCTCACCGGAACTTCCCCTTCTATTGCTCAACTGTATTTGGTTTTTAAAAACTGTTGAAACTCTTGAGTGGATTGCTTGCTTTATCTAAGAAATATAAATGACACTATTTACTTAAGCAAAAAAAAAAAAATTTCTTAGATGATTTTCCATGGATGAATTTTGGTAAGAACTTTGGAAAATATCTTTTAACTCTCTTGCTGATGACAATCCATAGGAGGGATAGTTATTCCAGAAAAGGAGGTACAGGTATTTCTCTTAATTTAAAACAAAGTACCCACTTTTTTTTTCTTTCCTTTTTTTAGAATAGTAACTGCAGGTTTCTTAAAAGCCATGAATCCTGCTTTTTGTAGCTTCTAGTACAAAACATGTTCAATGAGAGTAAGTGAAGACACTGAGAATTTATGGTCTGGTCTGTGCTTAGAGCAGCTGAGTGTAGTTATTAAGCAGGGTCTGAACCAGGGGCTAACCCTTTCTTGTTTTTTTCAAGACAGGGTTTCTCTGTGTAGCTCTGGCTGGAAATTGACCAGGCTGTTCCAGGCTGGTCTCAAATTCAAGAAATTCACCTGCCTCTGCTGGGATTAAAGGTGTGCCATCACTGCCTCGTTGGCACACCCTTCTTGGCAACAGTGTTTCTTGGGCCTCTAACAAACATGGGCACTCTCAGGCAGGGACCTTTTGCTAGGATATAATAGCTGGAACTTTATTCTCTACTAATGGTAGTCTAAAATGGGCATTTTTTTTTTTTTTTAAATAGATAGGAGCTGGTATACCAGAAGGGTGTACCTAGATGCCTGTTTGGTGGGGAAGTTGAATAAAGTCAGTGCCTTAAATTTTTTTTGAGTGTCCCCCCCTGCCGCCCCTTGCTTCCCCCCCCCCCCCCCTACCGCCCCCCTCCCCACAACAGGTTCTGTCTATGTAGCTTTGGCTGCCCTGGAGCTCACTATATAGACTAGACTTGGCCTTTGAATTTAAAGATCCTCCTGCTTCTGAGTGCTGGAATTAAAGCCTTTTTTTGGGGGGAGGGGGGCGGTCTGACTTACCTTCTTATTTAAAGAAATTATGAAAAAATTCCTCTTATGGAGGTATTTCTAGAACAGATTTATAGGGATAGGCTCTGTTCTCCAACATTTGGCTAGAGTTAAAGGAAGCCAAGCTTGGTGGTTGTGTTTTACTGTACAAGTTAGTGTTCTAACAGCAGAGAAGGAACAGAACTCCAGATGTGTAACACATTCTCCTTATTCTTATGATTAGAGGAATGAGCCTTGAGCCGCTGTAGGAGTGACCACCTCTGCACTAAACAGCTGACTTCTCTCAGTGCCTCCAAGTGACCACCACCATTTTGCAGATGGCACTGGGCAAAGGCCAGCACAGGACAAAAACAGTTTTAGAAGGTCAGGTTTCAAAGACTCCCTGTGGGAACAGCTCCGCAGCTGATCAACATGTCTAACCTGTCCTGTAGCTGCAGCCCAACACAAAACTGAAAACTTAAAATACCATTTTAGGGAAGGCATATGTGTGCATGCATCTTTTAAATTTGATTGGGTCATTCTTGAGTGTGAATTCTGTAGATGACAAGTGTCCTGTCAAGATGTCTAAAGGATGATTGCCCGAGTTTAGTAAAATACATTTAACTTGCAGCCAACAAGGACCGAACTTGGGACCCATAAACACATGCCTGAAACTTATAAAGCCTGTCATAGCCTTGTTAAGCTGACACCAAGAGATGGAAGTTCACGATGTTCATTTTCATGTAACTGCCAAGACAAACACGGTACACCCTCCCCACCCCGGTCATAAGGTACAAGTCTGGAAGGGACTCATGAGAGCTGCAGCAAAAGGCACAAGCAACTCAAAAATCCTGCACATCAGAAAACAAGTCATGTTGTGCATACAAGAGGAAAAAATCATGTGTCCTTGTTGATTTTGAAATCCCAAATAAAATTCTCAAATACAGACCCTACAATGAGGTCAAGATCATAATCTTGGTGTTTACTAGGGAAAGAGTAGCTGTGCTTGGTGAACATTAGATGTACATGAACAAAGTTTGTAGCACCACTAGATTACTCTAGGTTTAGCATGTTTACACTGGATGCACACCCTGGTTCAGCCCTGCAGTCCCAGAACCCTGCAGTCCCAGCTATCTGGGTTTACTGAAGCAGGATTGCTTAAACCTAGAAAGTTACAGCCAGCCTGGGCAACAAGTTACCATCTTCAAGAAAGTAAGCAGAACTATAATCTTGAGTGAGACTGAATAACCACAATCGACTTTGAAGTGTAATTAAACTAGTTTAATTTAACATAGGTTAAACTTCAAGACTTTTTTTTAGTTCAACTTAAATCTTCAAATCACCTGTTCAGAAAAAAAAAAACAGAACACTAGTCAGTAACATTTTAATAGTAGTAGAAGTTTTTTAAAAACACATTTTGGAATCCCAAAATACAACCACTTAAATAATTCTCAACAGCATTTAATCAACTTTACAGAAATAAGATCACTAAGTTTATAGGGCACATTCTTATTTACACCTAATTGTAAGTAGCACACTTCATATATTTTAGTTAACATTTCCATAGTAATTGTGGATCTCAGAGTCTATGACCTATGAGACAGTCTACATAATATTTTGAGTAGCTCTTGGTAACGAGAATATTTATCTGAGAAATTAGTAATTAGGAAAAAGGTTTCATACATTCATCAAATCTTAGCAACTGCTTACTAAGATGCCGATTTAATTTCATCTTGCTCTTTTTCTCTAACTACTACTGTCTATATTAGGAACATGAGGCACAAGCTTGAGGTCTGGTGACTACAGTGGGCCCACAGACAGAAAACACTGCTTTCCTCCTCAAGCTTTTCATCAGCCCAGCACATAACCTACCATTTGTCAGAAAGATGGACTTTTGTTCCTCATATTTTCAAATGAACAGGCACAGATACTTCAGCTCATGCTTTGTTCTAGACTTCACTGAGGCAGGTGGCAGGCTGCATGGCAGACACTCCTATAATGAGGATTCATCTACAACTATTTTTGGAAATGAAACGTTGACTAATGTTTCTAAGGCTATAGAAACAAGACTGAGCTGAGGAGAGTCACAGGTGGCTTTTCTTATGCAGTGTCTCGTCAGAGAAGCACATCACATTAAACCACAAAGCCACCTCGGCTTCAGGCCAACACCTAGTGCTTAGGAAATGGCAAAGCAATGTTTTCCTGATCTGTACAAACTGCTTTTGTCTAAAACAATGTCCTCAAGTTCCAGCTAATAATAGAGACACACTGATTAAACCTCATCCTTCCTTGAGCAAATAATATCAACTTGCCCCAAGGAAACTGCTGCCCAATTTAGCTATCTTATTCTGGAAGGGCTATTACTACTTTTACAATTTTAGCAGTCCTTGATTTGATAAATGTATTTAAAGGTACACTGATGCTGCTTGGTTAAGGTAGTTAGTCTAAGACACTGATTATTTTTCTTAGTGTGGGAAGTTGACCACAGGCAGGAAGCTTCCACCCTGGCATTACTGAGGTCAGACAGTGATTCGCTTCAGGAGGTTTTGTCATCGTGTGCCCACAGAGAGCAAACTGTTGATGGAGACACTGCAATTCGGCCTTTTATTGTCATCATTCCTCAGCAGCCATTGGAAAGAAAGATTCAAGACCCCAATCAGTTCAGCAATGTGAGAAACAATTACCTGCCAAGTGAGAACATGTGGTCCCAACACTGGTTTTCTGCTGAGAGTCAAAATACCAATCCATACTGTAGAGTGAAAAACCAGGAGAGCAGGAACACAGTAAACAACCTTCTGTGTCATGGACACTGCCTCTTTCAACCACGGCCTCCAATCTTCAAAACACTATTCAGAGTCAGAAGTGGTCCACATGCTTGTAATCTCATCAGTGGGAAAGCTGAGGCAGAAGGATGGTGAATGCAAACTCAGATTGGATTAAACAATGAGACCCTGCTTAAAAAATTCTTCAGTAATGGTTAAATGATTAAAAACAATTTACCTTGCTCTATCACAATATCCTTTGTAAAAGCCAGCTTCATCTGCTGTTAGAATGATTACACCATTTTCCCTGGCATGTCTTAAAAGCACTAATCTATGTGATAAAGAATATTTTCCTGTCTGCACTGACCACACAGAGTTCAGTGAGAAACTTGTAAAACCAACTTTGAGACTCTTAATAAGTGCTCAAAATAAGATTTTTCTACTTCAACAGCTCATATTAATCTGGTTGTACATTTCTTTCAGTAAAATTCACATATTTTACTATGAGTAGCTAGAATCAAACTGTAAAAAACAGCTTTCATGTCTTAGATATGGCTCTAAGAATAAATTTAGCCTTTAAAATTCTATTTTCTTGGTGCTGGCTTGGGATAGCCTCTGCAATTCTCTGAATGCTGATGCTCTGCCTGTGAAGATGGAGGTGTAGAGTGCCATGGTGCTGTCCCACGGCCAGCTGTAGGAGATGGTGTCCATATATAAAGAGACATATCTGTATGTGAAACTGTCGGTTATTACTCTATACAAAGATCCCAAAATTGTATTGGACTCATTTTTTAAATGGTGGCAGTTCCAGGGAACTAATGAACCTTACTAGAACAATTCCCGTTATTATGGAAGCAGTATGTATAATATTCCAATATACCTATGGTTGCTGGATACAGACACCATCCCATACCTACATGATTAGAAACACTTACAGTCAGACTTTTGAAGCTTCTTCAGGTCATGACTTCAGTGTTTAGAGAAGGATCTTTTCAGTGTTCTCCATCCTACCATTTCTACATCCTTTCACTGTACCTAAAAACAGGACCACCAAAGACCTACATGCCAGGCATGCCAGGTAGAATGTCTATACCCATTTGGATACCTCTCCCCCTAATCCCAGTGGTTACCCTAGCTGTCCTTACCCACCAGGTGGTCCATACCCTGCCAAATTCCTAGTATGCTTTCCAGGATCCTGTGGTCAGAGATGACGTAATCAGTAAGGACACTACTGGAGCATCTTTCAACAGTCAGTGACAAACTGAGATGGCAGGTGGAGGAAATGGATCACACCTAGGTAGGGCTCAATGCTTTGAAACAAAGACCACAACAGATCACTGGGAACTAGAAGAAATGGTCACCCATTTAGATTAAGAAATAGCTGAAGTTGATCAAAACAGAACTCGTGAAGAAAGATAATTAAATTTTGCTCTGGAGAAAATGGAAAATAATCTGAAAATGATATTGATGAAGTTATTCCTAAATCTGTATGCAGAGGAAATGCTATGAAGATACTTATCTTTTACTCGGTGCAAGCCTCGAAGTGGAGAGTAATAGACCTGGATATGTTCCTGACTCATGTTTATCTCCTGTCCTGTAAGTAATTCCAGCTGAGGGCATTAATGCAAAAGGCAAGAAAGACTGTAGATCAGTGAGTGACCTCTACTGACTTGTGGTGTCAGCAAGAAACACTTCTTAAACATCTTTTCTTGGGCTGGAGAGGTGGTTCAGTGGTCAGAGAACTCAGGTTCAATACCCAGTACCCACAAGGCGGCTCATGACCTTCTGTAATTCCAGTTTCATCAGATCTGATGCCCTCTTCTGGCCTCTTTTGGTATTGGGTATGCAGACGGTGCACAGACACACATACAGGGAAAGTACCCTTACACACAAAATAAACTTACTCAGTTTATCACTGAAGTGTAAAGTATTTTGAATCAATATATTTTTCTGTATCCTTTGGGTAAAGACTGGCTTTTATTAGTACACTTTTTATCCTCTGTAAACATTTTGTGCTGAATGTTGGGACTGATTATGCTAAATAAAATTGGTTACATAAATTTTTTTGTCATTAAGCATTTATTTTTGTCTACAAAGTAGACATACAACACAAGTTTGGGATCAACAAAGGACTCCTACTCTTATTAAAGTATTTGACCACTCTAAAGAACTCAGACAACAACCTTCAAAGGCTTTATCTGTGGGAACATCAAGCAGAGGAAAGACGAATAAAGGTCACAGTATTGAACTGTCTTAAAATCTCATTAGGAAAATGTTATTTTAGTCTAACAACAAAAATCAAAAATTTTAATTTAAATTATTCTAATTGTAAAGATTAGGTTCACTGAAATATACTAATCATTTAAAAACATCACAGTATGCTTACTTGATTTTCTTAATGAATCAATATTTTAATACTTTTAATGTGCAATATGGCATTCCTGCCATTTTTTTTGTGTGTGTGGAAAAACACAGATTTTTTTTTCTTCTTCCAAGTGTCAAAAGAAAATAGGCAATAAAGATAAAAATGCAAATCATAAAATCAACTAGTGTTCTTTTCACAATTCCAAACAAGAAAAGGGTATGCTTGGCTTTGAAGTCTCTATGGACAACATAGTGCAAGACAGTTAGTTGATTTCTCTTTCCCCTCGGTCCCTTCTTTTTGGCTTGAACTCAAAATCTTCTTGCCTCAGCCTCCTGAGTGCTGGGTTTACAGGCGTGCACCACTGCCCTGCCCATGGCAAGAGTTCTCAGTTTACCAGTTCTAAAGAGTCTGCTTCAGGGAATGTCCATTTGATCAATTACTAAATTCTATTACACAATTCTACTTTAACTTAGAAACAGAATTTTGTTTAACAGTACCACAGAAGCTAGTCTAGTACTCAGAAATATCACCACCCCCACATCTGTGACAGTCGGACACAACACAATTTATGATATACATCATACTTTAGTAGATAAATAGATGAAGGCTAATTAAAAGTCCTCTTAGGAATAAAATATCTCAGCCCTTTGTATCAAATCTGAATCTGAAAGGTAAAGTAAAATAATATCCACTGTTTTCAAGTATACAAACTATGCCCTAGAGTAAAAAATTAAATGTCCTGTAGTTCAAGCCAAGGCTCTGTCGGTGAGGCTGTCAGGGAGGCTGTGTGCTAGCAGACGGCTCCTTCGTGCTGAGGGTCATTCCTGCAGGCTCCTACAACAAAGCATCAGAAGCCACCCTATGTCAGTAGGTCTGTCCAACCTCAGTTACACCTATGGAGATAATACTTTAAAAAACAAATTATAGAAACATTTAAATAAAACTTACATGTAAAAATGACAACCCATTTCAAAGAACGCCAGTAAGAGAAATATCCTTCCTTCAGTGTGGTAAACAGGCTTTCTAGTGTTTCCTGAGCCAACAATCACCTAGCGAGTACCTTTGAAGGACCTCTTTCTTTACACATCTCACAAGTGGGGCCATGTTCTTGAGAAAAGGAATTTAGTTTTCTTTCTGGATTCTGAAGTCAGTGGCCCAAATCATAGTAGTATGAACTCTGTCTCAACAGGATTCCTAAAAGCAAAATTCCTTACTATGCCAAATATACTGCTTTGTAACGTGGTCAGTTCAGTGTTGGCCAGAGAAATGGTGCGACCAAGCCCCAGCTATAATTATGGTCCTGTGAAATCCACTCCCTAGTGCTCCCCACTCTCCAAAGCATTCCTTTTCCTCTCTCCTCTAGCACTGGTTTAGAACTTAAGATATCGGAGCTTGGAAGATAGTTCAGCTCCTAAGTGCTTACTACCTAAGTCCCTAGAAGAGTCATAAAAAAAAGTTGCACACAGTAGTGTGTGCTTGTAATCCCAGCACTAGAAAAAGTAGAGAGGGATGATGGATTCCTGAGGCTCTCCAGTCAGCCAGCCTAGCTTAGCAGGCAAGTCCCAGGCCAGTGGGAGACCTTGTCTCAAAAAGGAAGTGGATAATGCCCTGAAGAATGATACCTGAGGGTGACCTCTGGCCTGCACAACAGTGTGCACAACTGCACTTTCACCCGCACACACATGTGCAGTCCACACTCTCAATACACATATATCCGCACACAATAAAACATGCATGTCTGATGCCTGTAGAGGCCAAACAGGGTATGGGATTTCCAGGAACTGGAGTTACAGATGGTTGTGAGCCATCATGTGAGGGCTGGTAATGGATCTCAGGTCTTCTGGAAGAGCAGCCAGTGCTCTTAACTATGGAGCCACCACTACACCCTCTTTTGTTTGGAGACAGGGTCTCACAGAGTCCTAGCTGGCCTGGAACTCCCTATATAGACCAGGCTGGCCTCACACTCACAAAGATCCACATGCCTCTGCCTCTCAAGTGCTGGGAATAAAGACATCACACCATTATCACACCAGGCTCAAAATAATTTCATAATTAATCTTTAAAGAATGCAGAGGAGGGGCCAGTAAGATGGTTCAGAGGTACTTTCTGCCAAGCCTGACAACCTGAGTTTGATCCCCGAGACCCATGGTAGGAGGAGAGAACTGACTACTCAAAAGTTATCCTCTGACTTCTATACTTGAGTAATAGCACACCTGGGTACCCCAATAAAATCAATGAATAAATTAATTAAAAGGGTGTAAAAATGGGGATGTAGCTCAGTTGGTAGAGTGCTTGCTTAGCATGCACACAACCCTGGGTTTGCTCCCAAGCACTGCATAAAATCATGGTGGTAACGCATGCCTATAATCTTAGCATTTGGGAGGTGGTGGTCAGATAAATCAGAAGTTCAAAGTCATCCTCAGCTATCTAGAGAGTTTGAGGCTACCCTGGTCTACATAAGATGCTGTTTCAAAAAAGAATTTGAAGAAAAAAAAAAAACCCCACAAATATTAGCAAAATACAAGTCATAATTCTATAGCCAACCCCAAGAAGAAAGATTTTCCTATTTAGCATGTCATAAAAGGCCTAAGGAGATGCTAGAAGACAAAAAAATTATAAAGAAACTGAAAGATACAGAAATTAGGCACTGGAAGATGGCTGAGTGCCAGAGTTTGTGCTCAGTATTCCCCAAACCCCGAGTTCCATCCCTAACACTAAGAAGAAATAAAGAAACTGAGGGAGAAGATAACAATATAATAATATATGACAGAGGTTGTATATTTTCATAATTAAATTCTAAAAAGTTGTAAGAAAGGGCTAAGCCCAAAGCTGCAGGTTTGAGTGACACCATGCAATACAAAAAAAGCTTCTTTTCTAACGAGTCCGTGGTGTTTGAATGAGAATGCCGCATAGGAGCATACATCTGAACACCTGGTCCCCAGCTGGTGGAGCTGTCTGTCTGGGAGGCAACAGTGGTCTAGCCTTGTTGGAGGTGGTCTCTGGGGGTGGGGCTTTGAGGTTTGAAACCTCCACACAAAGCCCATTTTCTTTTCCTCTCTGCCTTGAACTTGTGGATGAGATGCGAGCTCTCAGCCACTGCTCCAGTGCATGCCTGCCTGCTGCCATGCTCCCCACCATCATGGTCATGGAGTCTAACCTTCAGCAAGAGTGAACCCCAATAAACATTTTAGTTGCCTTGGTCATGGTGTTCTGTCATGGCATTAGAAAAGTAACTATGACAGAGCTTGAACTAAGAAGTAGTATGAAAAAATTAGGTGGGTTGAGAAGCAGAGGCAAGAAGACTATGAGCTGTGCTAACTATACCATAGAATGAGAGCACAGAAAACCAAACCAAACACAAAAAAGTAGAGATGAATTGAGCAATTAATTCAGAAGAAAAACTTAAATACAAGATAGTCTTTTATACACACACACACACACACACACACACACACACACAAATTTATCTAGCAATGATACAGAAAGAACATTCTACATTATAAGACCAGCTTACCAAACATTTACATATTTCCCTGTTCGTGAGAATGTATTTATCAAAAGGTTAAAATGGTATCTCTAAGTGTGGGACTGTAGTTTTCATTTATGCTTTTATATTTTTCTCTTTTCCATTCTACTCCACCACTGGTAACATCATGGTGTTACAACTGCAGCCACATACCTAGCAATGCGGTGTCTTCCCCGGCATCTTCTTTAAAGCAGGGGCGGTGTGGCCCAGACTCACTTGAGGAAGATGATGGAAGGTTGCTTTCAGCACTCCTGTCCTCATCGTGGGATGTCACACTCAGATTCCCAACAGAAACACTTCCCGGAGCAGCTTCTGGAATGGGTAACTCCTGTGGATCCTCAGGGTCCCCCTTGAGAGGTAGACAGAAGGCAATGGCTTTCTCAGTGACATGAGCACACTGTGGGGTCATGTGCTAGTAAGTTAACACGAGACATCCTTGACTCTCAGGTTATCTGGTGGGAAGCACACCACCTCCTCAGCCAGTGTCATGATAAAAGGGTTACTTAGCAATAGGCAGCTTGCTAAGACGTACCAAGCTTGGTTGTTTTCCTCTAAAGATAGTCAGTCTCATGCAAGTTGTGTCCCACCTTTTAAACTATTTAGTCACAAAGTGGCTCTTTCCTGAAAGCGTCTTCTTGTAGAGTGTGAACTTGTGCAGCCTCACTGCTGTTCCCTCAGGAGGCAGCCAGGTGCCCTAATGACAGCCCCCAGGCTCAGCACAGCCCTGGGGTGTCAGAGACAGACAGCTTCTGAACAGCTAAAGGCTTCAGATTTTTGTTTTAAAATCAGTCCTGATTTCTTCCTTATATATAGTTTCTCAGCTGTGCTTTATCTCCAACTTCCCTCCCTCCCCTCTTTGTTGCTTTGAAGGAAGATAATGAAAGGAGGGCCAGAGACTCCTTTAGCACCACTACATTAAGCCTCAACATGAGTGGGTGGGTGTTTCAGACATTCTTCTTGGTTAATCAAAGAGCTAAAGCTGCACGTGGGCAGATGAAACTGCTGGAAAGTGAATGACAGCTGGCAGGCTTGTGAGCAGGGGAGTCACAGGCACTCGACCTCCGTGGGTTCTCAGACATCTTTTGTCTGCTCTATGTGCATTTTAAAGCCACCCCCTCCTCCCTCATCAGTAACTTGGCATCCTAGACACTCAAACCGCTCTTTCCCGACACCAACTCATAACACATCAAGCAAACATTCCTGTTGTTGTAATGTCACAATGCCAACTCCTGTTCAGCCCCATCCCAACTGGTTTCTCTAAATACCTGCCAAACTCAACTCTTCACAAATCTCTAACCTGATAGTTCATATCCCTGTGCACATACCAGCCACCTATTAGACACTGAGGTGACAGTCAAAGCCCCCATCAGTCCCACTAAAATATACTCTCTCCATCTTTCCACATCTAACAGGCAGTATAAGATCTTTCTTTTCTGATCCAGACGGCATTTACCATGTTCCCTGTATCTCTGGATATGTACTGGCTCCATTTGGCCTGAGAGAGAAATCCTCAAGAGTCTTTATCTAGCAAAGGAGCTGTACCTTATTTATCTCTGAGCCAAGTTCAGCTTAACATCTTAGACAGCATTGTTTGCCCAATGAATGTGGTGGACACAGCTTCAAACCAAAGGACTGCCTTTAAAGGCTGTGTAAAGGGTCACTGGGACTCGAGTGGTTATAAGGGAACAGAAACCTCTAAAAATTGAAACATCAAAGACACACAAATCCTTAGCTTTGAAGTTACAATAACTTTCCATCCTTCACAAAGTAAGTCATACACTCTGGTTCTCTATAGTCTAGCTTCCTGAAATAAACACTCCAAGAAAATAATCCAACTTCATATAAAATGAAAACTGATTTCTAATACATGAGTATATGTGGACTTACAATTTCTAAACAAAATGTATGAGGGTGCAAGTCTTTGGCTTAGCTAAGAACAGAAATCAGTCTCACATAAACGTCAAGAGATGAAAAGCTGGTTCACTCAAAAAGACAACAACTTAGCACAAGCTTTGGAGTACACCTAAGGGAGTTCAAGACTTTTTTCAAGAAAACAATCCATCAAGTTCTGTGTTTTCTCTTTTAAGATTCTGAACCATCAGGCTCAGCTTCTTGCTGAACTGTGGTTTCTATAATAGAGAGCACAAACCAAACTCATTAGGGAGGAATGCTATCCCAGGCCAAAGGGATTGAAGGAAGTTTAGGTATTCTGTAAGAAAGACACATTTCAGGACAAAGCAGGGTAAGGCACAGCTGGGTACCAACCTTTTCTCCCTGAGGAACTATCATAAGGGCATCCTGGACCACTATGTGAAACACTCTACAGGGCATGTCAGCAGCAAGAGATCTTAGTATCTGCTGAAGACATACCAAGCTAGAAGATGATGTCACACCTGCAGCCTATGAAGCCAGTCTTGTTCCATGGGCAGTTTGTTAGTGACACCATTAAAGTTGCATAAATGTTCATCCAGTTTATGTGCTGTGGGGAACTGAATCTGAGGCTTCAATGCAAGGTATGTAAGCACTCTGAGCTACATTTCTAATCACTTCAAATATTTATCTAAAATACTTTAATCAGTAGTATTTTGAGTCATAATAGATCATATGGAGATCTAAAAAACAAACAACAACAACAACAAAAATACCCAAAAAACTTAAAAAGAGTTCTCCCATATCTTTTCTAAGTAGGGAAGAAATAACTTATGTTTGAAAGCCAGTTCCTTACCAATTAGCTGTGAGACCTTATATGAAAAGTCAGCGACTCTAAGCTTAAGTTTCTAATTAATAGAGTAGGGATAATAAGAGTGCTTCATATAGAGACTGTGAAGATAAAATGTAATCATGTGTTTAAGGCTTGGAGCAAGCATGTGGCTAGCTATTGTTATAATCTCTTTCAATTTACCCTTGTATCTCCAGGAAGATCCTTGTCCATCACAAAATAAGGGGCAAAACTTAATGTAGAACAAGTTTATCCTGTACCAATGAACTGTGAAACCCAGCAACAGTGAAAACAGATGTCAAAAACTGTTGGGTATAGTATGTGTAAAATGTGTCTCTCAAGGAAGAAAATGTAGAATGCTCTTCTGTTTCATACATTCTATGTATTGGTTTACATAAACCAAACATACACATGCATGTGCACACACACACGCATACATGTATACACGTGTACACACACACACACAATACTATAGTATACAGAACTATACTGCTCTAAGTAGTTAAAAACTGGGGACACATGCTAGCATCTTTTTCTGTCAAACTCAGTTCACTGATTTTAGTGGGTTACTCTATAAATTCATTTTTAGTACAGAAAACTTCTTTAGATAACAGCAAGCATATCAGAAGGAGCATTCTGTCTGTTCCTCTTGTCTCTAGTCATAATAAAAGTGAGATACTCAGGAAGAACTGGGGCAGAGATTGAATATAAACAAAAACGTAACAAACCCAATATCCCAGGGCTTTGATGACATCAAGTTTACACATTGGACACGTTCGGTGATCCAAAAGCCATGGGTCAATGCATATTCTATGAAAAATATGCCTAAAAAAATTAAGTATGTATTAATGTCTTAAAATAAATGCTTCCGTATCTTATAAAGGAAATAATGCATTTTACCAACATATCTCTCTATTAAAAGTTAGACAACAGTACACTAACATTATAGTCTAATCACTTTTCTATTTTCTACTTAAATAGATTTTGGACTTAATAGTGAAATGTTTTTAAAAAGTGAAAGCTTCTCTTCATTCCACAAAATAGGATGGATCAATTTCTACCACATACCAGGTTATAAATTTTTTTGTGTGTACTATTTTATTTTTTTTGAGATAGACTCTTGCTATGTCATTCAAGCTAGCCTAGAATGTGCTATGCAGTCCAGGATTACCTTGGATTTAGAATCCTTGTACCTCTGCCTCCCAAATACTAGGATTACAGTTATGTGCTACAGTGCCCAAGCATGTTTATGTGTCTTAGTAGGACACTTATAAACCACTTAGGCTAGTAAAGCCCATAAATAAGCTCTTACTACTAACTAATAAACTAATCCTAAACTGAGCATATCTTCAAGTCTATAAATGACTCAAGTGGAAATACGTGACAATGCCGACGAGCGGCACGAAGAAGTTGTTTCCTCTTGTGTACCTTTATGAACCCTTCTTTAATAAACATCTGTTGCTACCAGGAAGACACATACACGTTCCTTTCTTGTTGGTTTATCTTAGTTTCCTGCCCTTCCCATATTATGTGTGAAGTTAATTAGAGGCTTTGAAGCCAGACAGATTAGGCTCAAGCAGTAGCTGTAACTAAAAAGCATGACCACAAGGAGCTCTGTCTCCCCTAATCTCTGCACCTACACCATGAGCTCTTTGCAGTGTCTACAACAAGTATATACTTAGTAACTGTTCATTATTATTACTCTTTTTTTTTCTTTCTTTCTTTTCTTTTCTTTTTTTTTTTTTTTTTTGGAGACAGGGTTTCTCTGTGTAGCCCTGGCTGTCTTGGAACTTGCTTTGTAGACCAGGCTGGGCCTCAAGCCTACAGAGATCCAACTGCCTCTGCCTCTATTATTAGTCTTTTGAAGACTTTTTCTATTAAACAAAAGCTGCAGTGCCACTAAAATTAGCAATTCTTAATTATGTATCAGTCTAGTCCAGCTTATCATTCAACCTCAAATTAATACTGACTGACCCAGAAGAATTTTTCAAAAAACAAGAAACTTCTAGTTTTGTTGGGGGATGTTTAACATATTGCTCAGGAGAATAAACGACCAAAATAAAAATCCCAATAATGTGCACACCACAGCATATCTGCAGAGGTCAAGTACAAGCTGAGTGCAGACATCAGCACATACCTACTGCCTCTCTCCTGCGCACTCCTGAGCATCACGCTGAAAGGGGAAAGACCTGCTCTAAAACCAGCCTAAAACTGGACTTTCAATGCTTTTCTGCAGAACACGACCATCACACACATCAATTCATTAAGTATCTACTGTGCTGACCTTAGGTAAATGCTGACAGATTTTAGCCAGTTCACTTTTCTCAGTGAACTCTTATTATTTTGATACTCATTTTTTTTATTTCCTCAACAGAGGTATCAAGAACTTAATCTACGAAAAAGTACTATATACATAGTAAAGTATTTTGTAAAAAAACAAAAAAAAAACAAAAAAAAACAAATACAATAACTTGTAACTTGATTCTAAATTATGTAAAGTATAATTGAAATTTATCAGACTTGGAAAAATCTAATTTTCACACATACAACAAACTCTTCTGCTGATTAGCAGTTCTTTAAAAAAGTCAATTACAGTAGCAGGTTGTTAAAAAAGAAATGGCAACTTCCCAGGGCTAAAACCGCACCTGTGCTACTGAACCTGAGTAAAGGGAGGAATACTCATTTTTCACAGCTTCAAAAGGAACCCACACTCAGGGGATAAATAATAGCAAACCACTGTCTGCTTTCAGGTCACTGAAGGCCCTGGGTCCTTCATCTTTCCTCCTTTAATCAAGCATGTGTTCTGCTTCACTAGGTGTCTAATGGAGTCTAAACAAGCCCTGGGAAGACTGAAAGCCAGTCTAAAACAAAGACATAATGGATTTTAGTGTTCACCTAGAAGTCTCTCAAGCAGAGTAATTTTAAGGAGTCTTGAAGACAATATGAAAGATGAGCTAATCAAAGATCACAAGATCTTCCTATCAGAAAAAGCATGGAACTCTTTTGTCAGAAAACTGAAACAAGTCATTTTTAGTATCTTAGTAGGAAAAACTTATTCATACTTGCATGGCAGGATTCTGATAACATCCTTTACTTTAAAGTTTTCAATACACACTGCACAATTCTCAGCATCAATATCAATTCCCTGCAAAGAGAGAGTTACACACACACATTACACATATAATAAGAAGTTAGAAAAAAAAGAAAATTGACTAAAACAATGGATTCTACTCTATGCTGGAACAACCTGATCTAAAAACACAGATAATCATACTTGGCATTTACTTCGTAGTAATATATAACTATATATATAGAAGTATATAACTTCAAGCAGTTATATAAAGAATCTAAATGAAAAGAAAAAAAATTCATTGTCTGCCTAGTCAAACATTAGCAGTGTTTTAAATAGTATGTTAGTATTTGAAGAAATACAGACAATTGAGGGCTATAGAAATGCAAATCATACACACACATTTTTTGAGACAAGGTCTCTCTCTCTCTTTTTTTAAAGATTTATTTATTTTTTATGTATACAATGTTCTGTCTGCCTGTATGCCTGCATGCAAGAAGAGGGTGCCAGATCTCATTACAGATGGTTGTGAGCTACCATGTGGCTGCTGGTAATTGAACTCAGGACCTCTGGAAGAACAGTCAGTGCTCTTAACCTCTGAGCCATCTCTCTCCAGCCCGAGACAAGGTCTCTTGTTTTCAGGTTGGCCTCAGGTTCACTGTATAGCCAATAGTGACCTTGATTTCTGATGCCCCTGCCTTCATCTTCCAAAAGTACAGATTATAGTAGTGAACCACCAGGCCAAGTTTGTATGGAGCTGGAGATCAAACTCAGGACTTCATCAATGCCAGGAAACACTCTACGAAGTTAGCTGCACTCCAGTCTGGCTTGCTATTATGGTTAAACAAAATATTTTCAAGTATAATACTTGAATATTCAAAGACATTATTTATCTTCTAGAATTATTTAAAAGAAATTTGTATCTCTCTTAAAGAACAGTTACAACTTGAAGAAAGTACAAATGGCTACATATCTGAAATTTTACTTCATTAGTGTTAACCCCTCCATTATAACAAGTTGCCACTTTTGCCTAACAAATGAATAAATGTATAAAAAACAAAAATTGTTGGTTGTAGGGTGGGAAAGTTGGCAATATTTCTCCATCAAGAATCTATAGGCCATGGACTCTTTCTGTGAGTTAGTTGGGGTCAGTGTAGCCAGGAAAAGCTGAGATTCTGAGGCAGGGATTTAGGAACTCAAGCAGTATTTGCTTCTGAGGCTGCAATTTTGGCAGCTTCACATTATGAAAAACAGCCACACTATCCTTGAGTTGTTATTTAAACATACCCTTAGCCAGGTGTAGTAATTAACAAGGAAGCAGTAAAAACCTGATATAGTATGTACATAGCGTTATCAAAGACTATTAAAATGAACTTTGACAGCATTTTTAAATTTTATGTTGTGATATTTTATAAAAAGATTTTTTTACTATTTTTATATAAGTAGTGTCCTTGTATGAGTTTATGTACACCATGTGCATGCGTAAAGCCTCAGAGGCCAGAAGCACTGGATCACACCATGTACGTATGAAGCCTCAGAGGCCAAAAGCACTGGATGCCCTGGAACTGCAGTTACAGGTAGTTATTGGCTGACATGGGTGCTGGAAACCAAAGCCAGGTTCTCCGCAAGACAAGTTAACTCTCTTGACTACTGAGCCATCTCTCCAGCCCCTTAAATTCTATGTTGTAACAAAATAATTTCACTTATATTTCATGTTGTGCAGGAAACCATTTTAAAATTCTTTAATAATTTACAAGCTTATACATTATTATAAATAAATCCACAAGAAAAGAAAAATTAAAAAATATAATCACTTGTCTCCAGAATTGGATAAGATGCAGACTGCAAAAATTCATTTTCCTGTGGAAGTTCACAATGTAAAAATGCTTCCATATCCAGGTACACACTTCACAAACCATTTAGAGACCTTTTAAAAAATTATTATGACAATTTTAAAACAAGTTCCTAGTATCATACTTTAACAAATGCTGGGTATAGGAAGAGAATAGTATCAATTTACTTGTATTCTCAAGGGCTTGGTTCAGTAACTGATACAAGTGAATCTGTCTTCTCACATGTAAGCAATGAAATTTTTTGCTAAGGAGGGGGAAAAAAAAACATGCAGCAGGTACAGTAGAATTTTAAGTTTGTACAAAGTCCTGATTTCCTTCCTGAAAAGGAATTGAAGAATACATTTTTAGAAATCAATTCTCTAGATTAGCATCTAATTTATAAATCAGAAGAATTTCCTATTAATATCCATGAAAAACTCTACACATACTCTGTATGCCTAGTTATTAAATGGAAAGTCTCCTGGTGATTTGAGGGATAAGAAATCAGTACTTTGCACCAACTATTAAAATTCCACTATACTACAGTGTAAAAGTTATTGGGGGAAGGAATGACCCACCCATACAATCCTGAGCATATCTTAATCCTAAATATACCACAGAAGCCATGGATAACAGATTTCAATTTTTAAAACTCAAAAGGTCTATAATTTAATGTCTTTTAAGAAAAGTCCTTTATGTAGGGCAGAGGAAGAGATGTAAGTAGTTTCTTATAGTCTTTCTTTCGTGAAGGGAAGGGAAGAATGGAAGGTGAAACAGATTGAGTCTCAAAGCTTAATGAGATAAAATCAGCATCCAAGGAACTGCTTCAGCCCACAGCTATAAGGCAACATGTCACTGCAGAGGATGGCCCACTACAAGACCAAATGTTACACATTAGCAAAGTTCCCTTCTAAGGGTGTATCCTTGAGGAGTCAGTGCCTCTGGAGTAAGGTTTTGTTTGCACTGTTCCCTAAATGCTTTAAATCTCTGACTGAGCATGTCAGAAAGGTTCCCTTTTAAAAGTATAGTTTAAAAAATATGCTTTCTCTCTTCTACAAATGTTCAGTATTCTCCCTGTAACCGAGGGGCTTTGAGAGAATGTGAACATAGTCTCAGATTCAACAGAATGAATTCATAGCATCCCAGGTCCATAGTTTTAAGTGCACAGCATCTTTATCGTCATTTACTTTGGCCCAATGGAACTTTCAGTGACAGGAATATTGGCACATTGTTGTCACTGAGTACATACAATGTAGGAACTATCTTTAAATTCAATGTAATTCATTTAATCTTTTTGGGAGGTGGGGTGCTGGGGTCAATTCAGGACTCTACTCTTGAGCCACAGACCTGGATGGTAATTGTAATTCATTTACATTTAAACAGCCATGTGACTAATGACTGCTATAAACGGCCTCTTCATTCATTCCATCTCTGCCAGCCTTTCTTTAAACTATTAGAACAGACATATGAAGGCTTAACAAAGCTCACATGCTTGTTACTGCTCAACAGTGGACTGGAAAGAAAAGACTTCCCAAACACATAAACATCCTCCTGTCTGGACCCAAACAAAGCATAATCGAAGTATTATTACCTTCTCTCCATGCTTTACAGTATGTAGTGGAAGCTGGCCAATAACTTTCTTAGTTTCCTTTCTATGATTCTTGGGGAGAAAAACAGTATTATTAAAATAGTCTTTAAAAAATAACCCGTAAAGTACAATGTAAACAAAACAAAAAAGTTTTCATTAGTAAAACAAAGTTAAATGATTACTATGAAAATAACTTAGAAAAAAACTTTTAATATATAAAAGAATCATATAACTTATAAGCTACTTGGTAAGCTTTTTTTTTCTCTCTCTCTTTCTTTCAAGTCCCGATTGGCCTTAAGATCACAGCACCCTTCTGCCTCAGTTTCCCAAATACCAAGATTATAGGCACGAGCTACCATGCCCAGCTAAGACGGTATCTGTGTACTTACTTGCTTATTTGCAATGACGTCTAGGGCCTCACACATGCTAAACAAGTACCCTACACCACAGGGCTGTGTCCCTAGCCCAGGAATAGCTGCTTTGAATTCTGTATCTGAGAAAGAACACACACACACCCCCACCACCACCACTTCTGTGATGTTGGAATGGAACTCAGAAACTCCTAGCACTCTAAACATGTGCTGACACTTGGCCACACTTTCAACTTCCAGAAAACAATTCCTACACTTAAACACTGGCAAGAAAATGAAGCCCAGGAAGAAGGTACCAATTCACTCTCCATCAATAGTCCCTAAGAGAAGAGCCCTGTCTAGTTATCAGACCAGGAAGTCTCTACTGTGCATTAGGACTGAGTATGCCACTGGAAGCCTCTGGCTCTCCTCTCTGCTCCAGAAAGGGCTTGCCTTCAGACAAATAGCTCATCAGCTACTATAGTGCAGATAGAGCAGGCCGTTCCTCTTTGCTCCTCAACCTTATGCCAGACTAGAGAACAGGGTTACACATGCTCTTTCTGTCACACGCCCTTCTGCTAGTCCTCTGACCACAAGAAGACAAAGAGGGTACAGGTACCTGCAGGAACCAAATGTACAAAAAGTAACCTAGACTTAAAAATACATTCCAATTAAAAAATTCATCAAAGTGAGGAATACTCAAATGAGCAAACTGAAATTAGTGCGATTAAATGTAACTTCAAGTAGTACATTAGAATGTATTTATGAGCTATTATTTAAAATGAACCAAACTGTATAAATTAAAATGAATAGTTATCCATAACTACCTGGCTTCCAAACTGTGAGCCAGTATATAGGAAACGCTGTATATAATAGAATATCAGCCATGCTAATGAGATAATCATCATCGTGATGAAGGCAATGGCCACAAACACCACAGACTGACCACTGATGAATTCTTGCATATGACGGGTACCAATTGTTATGCTCATTTTTACTGGAATTCCTTTTTGCACCAGATCAAAAATTTCTCGTCCTTTTGGGTAGCTAATCATAATGACGACTGTCTTTCCTGTCCCTGCACAAAAGAACAAAGAAATGAACAAAGACAAAAGTTAGATAAAATTAAGAGTATGTTCATCAATACATCAAATACATTTGAAAACTTCAATAAAAATGAGTAATATTCAGTAAAACATCAATTGCCAAAACTGGTTCCAAAAGAGAAAACAGTCTGACTGAAATTAGGAAAATCACTATGAACTATTCTCTGAAAAGCTAGGACACCATTTAGATTCACAAATGAATCATTAGACCTTTAAGAAGCACAAAATACTAATGGTATTGAAACTGTTCCATAGCTAATTAAAAGGCTACTTACACTTTTTTCTAAGCCAGGCATGGTGGTGAAAGCCTTTAACCCAGAGGCGGAGATAGTCGACTTCAGTTTAAAGATAAGCCTGGATTATACAGTAAGTGAAGGCCAGCCTGGCTGGACAGTGAGACTGTAGTGTGCCTCTGCCCTCCCCAAGCAACCACCCCAAGAGCTGCAGATGTGGCTCAATGGCAGAGCACCTGCCTTGCATGTACAAGGCCCTGTGTTCAAATTCCAGCACTACAAAAAGGTATTAAAAAACCAAACATGGTAATAAAAAGCAAAAGAATCATACAGGTTAATTTCACTTATGAATATGAATGTTCCAGGGCAGCCAAGGGCTACACAGAGAAAGCCTGTCTCAAAAAACCAGGAAAAAAAAATCATTAGGGAATATGAGAACTCTATTGTGATCACTACCATTTTTTAAATTTTTTTATTTTGTGGTTGCTGTATTAGGCATGAGGCTCTTTTTAATGTTGAATATTTTCCTTTTCTTTTTTAAGACAGTGTCTCATAGCAGATCTTAAATTCCTCCTGCCTCTGCCTTCTGAGTACTGGGATTAAATATGCACTACCATGTCTGGCAAGAATTTAAAAAGCTTCCTTTCAGAAAACCCATGAATTTTTTCACTACCCCCTTCCCAAAGTTTCAAGCACAGAAACCAAAATAAGGTGGCATTAATTGAAAACTGTTACTGTCCTACTTACCACTGTCCTTGCTTTAAAAGTTTAGAGCTGGGGAAATGGGTTAGCAGTGAGTGCACACCTACTAGGCCCAAGGCTGATTTCTATCTCCAGGACCAGGAAAAAAGTTTAACATCCAGTTATCAATGCCAAATCAGTATACTGAATTTTCTCCTTCAGTTAGTTTTCAACCAAGTTGAAGTTAAACCAATCTAAGTGAAAAAGGATAAACAAGACTAGCGTTTAAGGGGCTGGGAAACAGCTTAATGATACAATGTGTGCTTAGCATGGGAGAGGCAGGATTTAAACCCAACTACCTTCTCTAAAAATGTGTTTATTGCACGCAATATGAATGACATGGACTAATGCCTGAGACCCCAGTTTCAGTCCCCAGTAACAAAGAGAGGTGGGAAGCAGGCATGAAGAACTGGCTGCAAGACAGATCTAGAGATCCATCAGGTCTTCAAAGATACTAGGTGCCTTCTGTTTTAAAGAGCCCTGCCAAGTCTGGTACTTGGAGGTACCACTTTCAAGTGGTACAAAAAAATCGTTTCTTCCACATGAGAACAAGTTTTGCAGTAAAGTGTCTCAAAAATCAGTTCTTTCTCTAGCTCTAGCCTCAGTTTAACATTTTAAACAATACACCTTGAGGGCTGGTTGAGACGACTCAGCAGAAAAGAACACTTCCCGCTTTTGTAGTACTTTCAGTTACTGTAACTGTGTTCAAGGGGCTCTGATGCCCTCTGGCCCCTGTGGGCAATTGCTCACATATGGTGCAAAAAATTCATGACACCACAAATACATAAACATAAAAATAATATTTTTTTTTAAAATCACAACTTTCTTGGGAAAAGCCAGGAGCCTACTGCTACTACCACAGTGAAACGTGGCACAGTGATGGCATATGTAAATAAGGGCAATTGTTTGGTGGCCCCCCTTTTTCAACAAGTCTATTCCTTATGGCTCTTCTTTTTTTTTTTATTTATTTATTTGGTTTTTTCGAGACAGGGTTTCTCTGTGTAGCTTTGTGCCTTTCCTGGAACTCACTTGGTAGCCCAGGCTGGCCTCAAACTCACAGAGATTCGCCTGCTTCTGCCTCCCGAGTGCTGGGATTAAAGGGGTGTGCCACCACCGCCCGGCCTTATGCCTCTTCTTGATTTGTCATTTTCCCCTAAGTACCTTCTATCACAATCTAAATGTCCATCAAAGTAACAGGGCTCTAACATTAGAGTATGTGCACAGGGTCCAACAGTAGCTCTGTTAGCATGGTCTGCACTCAAGAGAAAGGAGCAGCAGGTAAAGTGTGGACAGCATGCTATCCTTAGACATCTCCAGGGAGTTATCTGACTGGCTCGAAGATGAGCCAGTAGCTTCTGGATGGATAGAGTGGGAGTCATCTCATTTTGCAGAGCAGGAGGTATAAGTAGAAATTCTGCACCACACAAGTCCTATGATAGATAGTATAATGTGTTAGTTCTCAAAGAAACCCGGGAAAACGGGCAGAGGTGACTACTGAACACATCAGAGCGGACCCTGGCCACCAGTCTCTCCCTACTCACAAGCACCTGCTACAGAGTCACAGAGGTTGGCGTATCTCACCTCCTACCCAAACCTCTCCAGCACCTGAATTTGCTTCCCTTTCCCCAACTTCTCTTTTCCTGTATTTTGGCTATGTGTCCTCTTTGGTGCTCTTGGACGCCTGGCTCTCTCCGGGCCTCTCGGCTTCTGGTCCCTCTCGTCTTCTCTCCTCCTCCTCCCTTGCTCTCCCCATTTTCTCCTCTCATAGCCCAGTTTAGTCTGGACCCTTCCAGATGCCTCTGGCTGGGTTCTCTCTCATATCTACAATAAATCTGCTCCTCAACCATACCTTGGAGCATCATGTTCTCATTTTGTTCATTCATCTGGTGAGAACAAAGCATAGACTATTTTATCTTGGTGAGACACACAGGAACTTTGTTTCTGAAGTGCCAGGAGGGCACCCTTCTAAGGTGGCTTCTGTCTGCAAGATGATACTGGAACCAGTTTGAGGCTAACTAGAGGAAACTATGGTTTTACAGCATGTTCATTAATGACCCTGCTGTCACTGGGAAATACACTGAGAGGCAGGTATTGACTATCTTTAGGAAAATAGTCAGCAGTCCAGAAACATAGACAGCAACAACTATGACATGGCTATAACCCATGTACCATGACAAGGTACAAGCTAAAAGCTTTTTTAATTAAAAAAAAAAAGAAAGAAAGAAAGGAAGGAAGGAAGGAAGGAAGGAAGGAAGGAAGAAAGAAAGAAGAGAAAAAGAAACTTGCAGAACATTTCAAATAGAAACAATGGTATAATTCTGCCATCGTGGTTAAAAGCTTTCATACAGAACCCCAAATGGCTTCTATACTACCAGTTGATAACAATTTCTGGTGCCAATTTTTGTGACAATGAGAGGCGGGGTGTGTGGGGAAACCCTCCATTACAGAACATACCACTTAAAGCAGAAAGCTGCCATATTGTCATTCTACAGCTGTGGACTCAGAAATCTTCAGGGAGTTGTTCAATGTTACACACCACCTGGAAATGCTGGTTCTCAGGGTCTGAAAGTTATGTCCAAGGCAGTATTCATTTCTTGAACCTTCTCCACAGGGTGTGTGGCTGCAGAGCCAGACCTGGGCTCAAATCTCATTTTGTTCACTGCCGAGGAGACCTGTATATTCCTGGACAAACTGCTCTCTGAAAATGATTCTTCTTCCTTTTTTTTTTTTTCTGTCATTGTTAATTAGTTTAAGAATGATTCTTCTTTGGGCTGCCACTTATTTAATAAGCAAGTAGAATAAAGAACTAGAGTTATGAGGGATAATGTTCTTTGGAGTAGAGGGAAATCTTTCCCTGAGAGGCACATTTACACTTTATCTTCAAGAATAGAAAAAGTTTAACAAACCAAAGGAAAGGAATTTTTCTAGGTCATAAAATGATCATAGAATCATATTTGAGGGACTAGAAATATGGCTCAGTGGTTAAGAACACTGTGTCTTGTTCAAGAGGACCCAGATTTAAATCTCAGCACCCACATGAAGCTTGCAACTGTCTATATAACTCCAGTTTAAGGAGATGCAATGTCCTCTTCTAATCTCTGTGGGTACTGATGCACAACATGCATGATGCACAAATAATAGCACGCAGATAAGAAACTCAGAAGAAACTAAACCTTTTAAATATTTATATTCGAGAAGGGGATGAGTCCAGTTTGGCTAGTTATTAAAAACTGGCATTTTGTTGAACGAAGAGGAAAATGAAAAATTAGGCAAAATGAGAAAAGCGCACATGTAGCTTAATGAGTGAGAAAGAAATCATAGTATTTCTTAAAAAGCTGTAGCCTGTAGAGGCAGTGTGTTGGACTGGGGATAGTTCGTTATTCAACAGTTTGATCAGCAAGACTGCTTCCAAGACCTATTTTAAATTGACAAAACTCAGTGATGACTTTTTTTACCCTGTGACTTATTCACTTTTCACAGCTACTCAGGAGGCTAGGACAGAGGAGTTCCCAAGGCCAGCCTCATCAATATGCCAAGAACAAGTCTCAGAGCTGGGGCAGGCAGATGAACAAGCAGCAAGGCAGATGGGTGAAAATGTACTAGCTCTGAAGCAAGTTTGTGCACAAGCTAAGGGATGCCGAGCACATCTATCACATTCCCCCCAGACTTTATTACCTGTCAAATCACTGGCTCTCTGGTCCAATCCACAAGTGCTAATCTGTTCAAGTAATTTTGTACAATTGTGTGTACACTGGCAGAGAGAGAAAGATCTCAGCTAAACAGGTGAATTTCTTCACAGGAGACATAGAGACTTGAAACATAAGAAATAAGCTGTGGAATTCTTTTCTTCCCCAGGGCTTAGTGTTGCTATCATTCTTGCTTGATTAAAAAGGTCATCTTGCCCAATCTCACCCACAAAGTAATCTCTACACCTTCCCATTGGCCAGGAAGCTCCCTAAGGGCAGTTTCTGTTTTATTTTTATCTTACACTGAGCACA